AACAGGGATTAAATCACTTGTAACTTCCTGTAAGCAGAAAAATACAAAACAGAGTACACTCTTGCCATTTTGGATTTACTTATATGAATTTATACATTTTTGAGAGGTAGAAGGTATTTCAGTTTTTAACTTAAACCTCACACATACCATGTCCTTGAACTTCTGAATTAATTCATGTTTTAAGACCAAAGTCTATGTGAACCAGGAAAAAGAACAACCAACCAACCAACCAACCAACCAACCAAAAAACAAAACAAACAAACAAACAAAAAAACCCCCAACAAAACCAAAAAACTCCCCAAAAGTCTAAATAAACCAAACCAAACTAAAAAATCCCCCTTACCCCAACTGTTGATTATTACTATTAATTACTGAAATTTTTTTGTATAGATCAATCTGAATGTCTTTAAATGTATGATTCCTGTAGCATTGATTTTTTTTTATTCACTTTGAATGTTTAAATAAAAAAAAATATTTATTTGCCATTTTCATATGCTTTGGCCTGCCAAATCTGTTAAATCTGTATTTGCCATATAGGCACTTACAAGGCTTATAGAGCTGGTTAAATCTTGAGATCAAGGGTTTTCTGAGTGTACGAAAGGATGAGCTCTGTGGCTAAAACAAAAGGATTTTTGGTTCCATTTTAATCACTGTAATGGAATTCACTTCTGGGCCATCCTTTCTGAACAAAGACAATGAGAATGGGATTTAGGAGTAATATAACACCCCTAATCTGACTTAGTATTCCTATTTCTGTCCCCAAAGATATCCCATTAAAACCTTTGGCTAGAACACTGCTCTGAGTAATTCATATTCTGCTGGCTGCACAGGACACCCACAATTAATTTACGAAACAGAATATTTTGTCTTTAATATGCATGTAATACAATATTTAGACTTGCAAATTTACTTTTGTCTTATTTTATTGTAGTATGTGTTTTAAAATTCACTCAATTGCCTCACTTGCCAGATGAGATTTTCTTGGTTTGTCACTTCTTTTTGTTATTTAGTAGTTCTCCAGTTCCCGTGGCAATAAAAGATTTATCATTACCACTTGGTTTTTCATTTTGCTTTCCAGATCATCAATAGAAGTCTCAAATAATCTTGAAATATTACAAGGCCCTATAGGATTGTACAATATTCATACATCCTTAGTGATAATTTTCCTAATTATGCTTATACTCTGAGATTTGTTGAGAAGCTTCAACAACCCTCATAAGATGCCTCTGTAGCTGCTGCAAGCAGTTCATTTTCTTACTGAAATGTTACAGAGCAGAGTCATGTATTTACAGAACCCTGCAAGTACTTTAATACAACAATGTAACTTCTGTAATGCAAATATTTCCATTCTAAAATGTGAAATGTCACAAGTTTTATTAATGGTTCTTTTTGGTATTATAACCTTGTTCAGAATTGCTTTTGGGTCAAAGAAAGCATTTCACTAAGCCATCAGTGCTGGTCCTGAGAGGTATTTTGGCAACTGAACACTAAAAGATCTAAGGGGGAGGCCAGACTCCCCAAAGCTATGCAGGGAAGCTGTGAAGCTCAAGACTCCCAAGGACCTTTCAGTTGATTTATACCCAAATCATTCCCCCATGCACATATACCATAGCAGTGGTGCACAAATTTTCTGGGAAAATAAAACACCACTAGCAGAGGAAATGCTTTTAATACCAAAGTCTTAGTTCAATAAGCTTCCATCAACATTAAAAACCTGCAAATCTTGAATATTGGTGTATCTACTGCAGTCTCAGAATAGAGGTGAATTAACCTTTGCCAAAACCCATTCAAATAAACACAGTTGCCAAGAATATTTGCTGCCTCTTTAATTGAAATTGAAAGACAATAATGTGTGATTCAGCTCATGGGGTTTGTGGTTTTGTGGTTTTGGAGACAAAATATTTGATAGAATGGAATAACTTTTAGAAAAAAAGAAGAAAAGAAACTATTACACTACAACACAGCAGGAAAACAGTCATTGTACTTTTTGGAGGGGCAGAGAGTATACAGCTAATAACCCTCCTCATTCAGCTGGAAGACCCAGTAAGTATATACAACAGAATTTTCCAGTTAGAACGTGTACTTATTTTCCTCTTAAAGAATAGCTTTATAAAAAATGCAGCAGAAGAGAACAATTCTTCTAAACAACTTTTATCTTTATTTATAATGTGAATCAATTTAGCTTTGAAGCACTACATGGATTTCTGTTTAATAAAGAATTTATACTAGATCCAAGTCTTGCTTAGTAGAGGACCAGCACTGAGACTTGTGAACTTATATGGAAACAAAATTTATTCTTGTACATTTAAGGAGACTGAATTGAGAATAACAAAGTCCAATAACAAATGAGCTTAATCATTATTTAATTTCTACTATTTCAAGCATAGTGAAAAGTTTGAAAAAAGTTAGTGTACTTTTTCAATACTGGACCTACCTTTAAAGCAATTAAGTGGGATCATCTGTATTTTTAGGTATCTAGTCATAAGTCAATAATGCATAATAATAAAAAAAAAGGAAGAAAAAAGAGAGGCAAGAGAAATAACTAAGTTGTGCTGAAGTTTAAAGACACAACAAAATATAAAACCTTACTAAGCCAATATATTTCTAAGACTGAGACAGAGATATAGAGGAGGATGCATGATCTCTGGCTGAAAAAAATGTGTTTACATATATATATATATATATAAATATATATATATATATATAAACACACACAGATAGGTATATATATATATGTGTGTGTGTATATATATATATATATGAATATACAAACACTAGATACATATTGTATATATGGTATATATGTATATGGCATATTGTAGAAAATTTGCCAACACATTTTGTTTGAAAAACTGTCTGTCTTGCTGGCAGTTCCTGCCCGTGTTTATGCCACAGAGCTCAGGAACAGAGTACCTTATCATACAACTGGCCCTAGGAATGTGCCACAATATGAATTGAGGTGAAAAAGAAGTGTGCTCTTTAACTGAGTGTAGTTCATTAAACAGTTTGTGTTTTGTTTCAATAAATACTATTTTGTAGAAGTATGGCATGACTTACACAATGAGCAGGGAGCAGACCAGCAGTACCAAGGAGCTTTTTTTCCTCTTAGCTAAGTAGTTTGTCTTTCAGGTAGCATATAAATATCTAATAAAACTTTTGAATTAAAAGTGCTGCATAAATTGGCTCTGCTAATTCAGTGGTGAGAGGCATTCTCCTGTTCTTACACAGAGGAGCAAGTGGATTTTATGGAAGCATTGAGATTTGTCTGAATGATCTCGTTGCAGTAGAGATTAAAATATTTTTTGTTGGGCATTATACAGCACTTAAGAGATCCTTGTCTGGGAAGTGACTCCATAAGCTGAAAATAGACTCAGTATGTAGGTTGAAAATATGAACCCAGTATCTTGTTAAACAACAAAGCAAACACATTTTTGAAGCTATAAAACAACTGAGTCGGTTTCTAACGAATTAGTATCTTCCTAAAGAGAAAGCACTATCTGATTATTAAATTAAAAATCTGAGACAGTGAGGTTTTGGCCAGTGTAAAGAAGTCTTCCTAGATTGAAGCATGAGTAATGTACAAACCTGTACAAACTGGCATTTTGGATGAGATGAGGTTATAAGAATTATTAACATTTGTAAGAACCTGAGTTTTTATAGGTGGTGGTGTTCATATATATCTGACAGATAAACTGAAATGAATCTGAATGGGGAAGAAGGCACTTTGTGTGTATATGACAGTTGTACCACCTCGTATTTAAATACTGTATGACAGCACTTGTACATTTGATAAATGAGAGACATTAACATTATTCAGATAACTGCTCAGCACTGCTCAACAGAGTGGAGAAATGTTTAAACAGATCTCTATTGTTTTCTTATAAAAAATGCAGATATCATTGCAATCTCTATAGTGAGAAATAAAAAGGAGTCAGAGAACAATCTTATTTACTGGAACTGAATAATCTACACTGCTTAGGCCAGTACCAGCTACCCCTTTGTTTTATTTTACCTCACTTTTATTAGTTCAACCCAAGTAATACCTGGATGTCCTTTGGAAACAGTTCTCTCCATGCTAGCCCTGCCTCTGAATGTACTGGTTTAGTCTGCTGTCCCTTGGTCAAGCATTTGATATCATCCCAACAATATTTTTTTTTTTCAGCTTCTACTACATTTCTGTATGACACACTCAGAGCAGAAAAGGGTGTTTTGGATTCACCAATATAGAACTGCAACACAGCTGTCACACTATTTCAGATATTTCAAATGCGAAAAATTCACATAAAACAATAAATGTATCTTAAGTGTCTGTAGACACCACATGGGTCTTTAAAAGATCCAGATCCAGCTGTTAAGTAGCACAGATGCTGTCTGCTCCAAGTGGACCTATAAGAAAGGGGCAACAAACATTTTAGTGGGGTCTGTTGTGGTAGAAATAAGGGCAATAGTTTTAAACTGAAGGAGGTTTGATTTAGACCACATATAATGAACAAGTTTTTTGTAGTGAGGGTGGTGAGATGCTGGATCAAGTTTCCCAGGAAAGTAGTAGATGACCCAGCCCTGGAAATATTTAAAATCAGGTTGGGCTGGGGCTCAGAACAACCTGATCTAGTTGAAGATGTCCTTGCTCATTGCAGGGGAATTTGCACCAGATGGCCTTTAAAGGTCTCTTCCAACCCATACTTTTCTATGATTCCATGTACTTAACCACTCCACTTGGCCTCTGGGCAAGAAATTGGTGATTTTCTTATATAGTGATAAAGACATTTTGTGGGTTTTTAATTAAAACTAAACAATACATCTCCAAATGCCACTTTTTGAATCTATCTGTAAGTCAGTGTTAAAGAAAAAAATTTTTAAAAAATTCAGAGTTCTCATTCTGTTGATCCTGAAATTTCCTTTTCAAATCAGGTAATTACGAGGGACTTATGTGAAATTTTTGGTACTCTCTGAAGCTCTCCACATGTACTGCTAACTTTCCTACTATATCTTGTCTTCAGCTGTTGCAGGGCAAATCATTTCCAAAATATGACAAATGGGATCTGCAACAGACAGGCAGTGGTGGAGGTGTAGATGAACAAATCAGTGGTGATTGTGATGATGAAGATGGTTGTGGAGGATCTGGAAGTGGAGAATTCAAAAGAGTCCTGAAAATAACAGACCGTAAGTCCATGATTCTGTTTCTTTCATGCACTTTAAGAGTGAATTGGTATATTTTCCACTAATACATGCCACTATGTTATCTCAGAAAATATGTGAAAAGTTGCCTGTGTAATGCTCCGAGATTTACAGGAATAGGCCTACAATTATAGGATTTCTGTGAGCACAGTATCAGTGAGTATCAGTTTTATCATAACACATGTTAAAATACACTTGGCACAATATAGACTTAACACAGTATTTTAGTCAAATAATAGGTATAAAGTGGCACGTCCCTCTGGATTATTACATTAACATAAGAGATTTGGCAGTTAAAAAGAGAAACTGAACTAATTTTTGATGGAACTGTGGCAAACCATGAGGTTGAGGGCAGGTAGCTGCATTTAATGGAAAACTATTGGAACCAATGTACTAAAGCAATCAACAATAATGCCACTGTTTTTTCTTATACGTCTTTCCACTTTTCTTAGTCTTCTTTTTGTGTAGTTTGGGGTCTTATTTGGTTGCATTGTATTTTTGTTTTGTTTATTCTCTGAAACACATTTGTAATAATTTTCATTAAAAATCCTGTGGCTATGCACTTGATAGGCATAGAACTCTAACCACAAGCAAAGTAAGTTACTACTTCTCTGAATCATGATATTTTTCAGCACATATGATTTCTCTTCTTATTTCTCTTTGAGTGTAGAAATATAGGCAGAGATGGTGGCAATAGATAAATATTTTCATCTAAACTCCATTTCTCCATTTTGAATTATTTTTCCTGCATTTTGTGTTATGTGTACTCACTGAATTTGAGGGTGTTGCATGTTTTCAGGCTTAGATGTGAACCCCAGGTTCTTTTTGACTTGACAGTAAAGAGGCAATTAAAAATGTGGCTGTAGAGATCATGTAGTTTCCCATTTCTTTTTGAACTGCTGGAAAAATGTGACAGAACATTCTGGGGTATGCCTTAACAATTCAGTTTGAAATCAGCCTAAGATCTTCTTGCACTGACACTTAATCTATACATTTTCAAGTCCTACTAAAAGTCTAGACGGGATTTTGAGCAATATCTAAAAAAGTTTGGACACTTCCTTCCTTAGAGTGCCCTTGGAGGTTTAACTTTAGAGAAAGAAGTTAGGAGTTCAAATATTTAAAACCAGATGTTCTTTGTAATACTGCATATATCTTATATCTATTTGCTAATGACACACTGTGGTATTGAAGTACTGTAAAATAGTCTTAGAATGTGACTAGAGCTATTAAGAAAGTATTAAATGACAAAAGAATTTCAAGATCAGTATATTTCATTTCACTCTCTTCTACTGCATTAGAATTTTCTTAATATTGATATATTTAGTGCAATCTTTTCAAAATGTCAAAATTATAATTAGCCTTCATATCCTCTTTATCCTACATCTTCTAAATTGCCAGAATTATAAGCTGTGTGCTAGGCATAGTGAAATTTACATGAATTCTGTTTCATTTGAACATTTTCTAAGACATTATAGAACAAAAATATGAACCCATAATTTTTGATATTTTGACTTGCGCATAAATCTTGAACTACTAGTACCTCCCTTGAGCTACTAGTACCTCCCATGAAATCACAACCTCCCATGCTGTGATTTCATGGATTTAAGCTGGCATGCATTCCCCTTTTGGAATTCAACTTAAAAGTTGTCTTTAATGTGTACCAGAAAGAGTCCTACTTTGTTCTGAGGCATCAGATATGGGCTGTCCAACAGAACAGTTAAAACATTCAATTTTGTAGAATTTTATTACGATATAGATCAAGATTTTTTTTTTTTTCAGAAATCACTTGTGTCTTTAAGTATATGTTAAAGTGTATGTTTAAGATAAATGAAGCAGGTGCTTGGAAAATTCTTCTACTGAATCACTGATATATGAGTAAGACTTTTGGAATTTAAAGTTAGATTTAAAGTGGAAACCAATACATTTTAGTATGAAAACAAAATTGTCTTCTCAAGATTTAAAATTTTATGTGAGGAACTAGAGTTGAAAAAAATATGAACATAATAAGAATTTAGGCTTATATTTTTAGTATCTATATCTTACATATACTTATGCAACATATATAATTTTGTGTAATTTCCTTAGATTTGGGGGACTGGTATCAATTAAAAGCCAAGTAAGATTTTAAAATCCTTGTTTTTAAACTGAAGAGATAGATTCACTATGATGATATTGCTTACAGCTACTTGAAAAATGTGTCTGAATTTCAGGCAAGCGTACAAGTTGACCACAATAAATTTGATATTCAGCACTAGCTTCTCTACAGAGTCATAGAGTTAGAATTATTTTTCCTTATCAAAAAACTTTCTGCATTTTTTACTTCTGCACAACTTTGCTTTCTCTCATAACCAGCCAGGAAAGAAAGGGGGATTGCTATGTATTTTTTTTCCATAGTTGAGTCTAGAAGTCCTAGCCATAGCCCAGGCTCTCTTTTGGTAGCTTCTGCAGACATTTTCACCAAGGAGATAATCCTGTGTGCAACAAATCAATGATCTTAATAAGCTATTAAAGTATGATACAGAACCAGCCCCTTTTATTACATTGCTGTGTATAAAAATAAAGACACATCCACCTTTTTTTTTGATGCTATCTCATTGCCTTTTGGATGTGTGCCTGATACTCAAACCCAGAAAGAACAGAGAGGAAGGGAAGGGATATACTTTTGCCAAACAAACTTTTACCAATTTTATGTGTACATGTAGCTTGTGAAGTGGAAGATCACCTGTTTCCACATTCAGTGTTAGAGATGTAAGGATTTATTTCATTTGGCGCTGAAGACTGACAAATGTGTGGTGACAGCCTTTGGGCTTTAGAAGGCAAATGAAGAGATGTGGTATTTGTAATATAGAAGTAATAGCCTTGCATTACAAAAATGTTTAAAATGTGTTATATTTTGAAAAAAAATATTTTTTAAAAAATCTAGTTTTTCAAAATCTAGGTTTGAAATAGTCCAATCAATGTATTATATTTAATGCTTCAAAGTGCTGCAATTGTGCTGATGGTTTCTCTTTCAAAAGTACTTTTAAAATACGGTAAATCGTGCAGCTATTTGAAGAAATGGTACTAGAAAGGGTAGTGTACTTTAAATGTATAAAATAAACAGTAGTATAAAGTCTTGACACTTCATTTGCTAGTTTTATTCTCCTCTAACCTGGGAGCTCCCACAGGACTATTTCATGAGTCACAATGAATTACCTCTTTGAAACCCCCTGCGGAACGCAGCAGTAATAACAACAAATACTTATCACCTACATATTGATTTGAATCTGTTTTCAAATAGCTCTGTGAGGAGGGGCCAATCCCAATATCACTCCACTGAGGTTCTCAATACCATCCATCAAAATTCTCATAATACTTGTAGCAAGACCACTGATTCACTGAAAAGTGCTCTACCACTTGTCTGTCTTTCTTTGCTCATTTTAGCATGCAGCACACACGTTTCTACACTGCAGCCAGAGCTCTCCTAGTGATCTCCCTGATCTCAGGGCTCAAATATGCAGAAATATCGAGGATACCTTTGTGCTTAAGATATATATGGGCAAACCTTGTCTCCCACTTTTTTTTTTTAATTTCGCCTGATATTCATCCTCTTTGAAGAAAGAGGTCTCCTAAATGTTTTATTTCTCAGGCTTCTTAACCTGTGGATTATTATTTTTTTTGTTCAAATCGTGCTGGAGAGGTAAAATGCCTTGGAAAAGGCTTTATGTTGTGATCTCTATATAAATAAACCAGTCTATGTTTCTTGCCTGACATAATACTGCATTCTCAAGTCTCAAATGTCCTTTCTCTTCTTTCTGCTCCTTCACCCACTTCACTATAGTTGCTTTTCTCATTGTTAAATCTGATTCTGGTGGCATATTCTGGGACCAAAACTACTTAAAGCTGGCAATGAAATCTCCATTATGATGTCTGCCATCTGTTAAATTCTTTTTAACTCTCATCTACATTCTGTTACCTCAGTTAAGTAAGACATCCCTTATGTCTGAGTAGGATTTCAGGTTTTATTTACACACAAGAGTATTCTTCCTAATTCCTAAATGTTAATGTGAGGTGTTATTCAGGTGTCTTTGGAAGAGCTACATGACTTCACTGTTCATAGTTCACTCACTTCAGAACATCTCAATTCTATTTAAAATGAATAAGAAAAAAAAGTTCTTGCTGTGAATGCCCCATTTGGTCTAAATATTGCAATAATAAATTTAACAATAACATTCTCATAGGCTATTGTTAATTGAGAGGCTGGGGGATCTCACCCTTGCTTTTCACATAAAGACTATCATAATCTGAGCTCTTTTCTCTCATAGCTCTCGTCTTTTGTGGAGCTGAAAATCTTTTGAAGAGAGAGATTTATTGCAGTTAGTACATTCCCATGAAAAATTTGCATTTCCTGAATTAGTAAACACTAAGCAAGAAGATACATATTGTCAACACATATGAAGTTCAAAGATTTTTCCTTGTGCATGATCAAGAGTTGTCATAAAAATATGTGATGATATAAATTATTGAAGCATAAACAAAGACAAAGGATGAACGAGTTCCAAAGATTTCTACAAAAAAAAAAAAAATCCCCAAACCACTTTTGGGTTCTTAAGCATAGACCTTCACCAGCCAGTGAAGTTTGAACAGGCAAAGTTGTCAGATGTATAACAACATGAGGGACTGTGGTGAGTTGACAGGTGCCAAGTGCCACCAAACTGCACAGCACTGTGGGGCTGCTATGGGAAAATGGACTCCAGCTCAGCCAGAACCGACACAAGCAGTGAGAGAAAAACCAAAAGGATTCCACTTAAAATGCCCTTGAAAAACTGGGAAAAGTTACAATACAACTTTCTTATGCAATATTTTGCAAGAAGGCGTGACCTGCATAATGATATTATGCATTTGAAAAAAGACAATATTTCAATTTTTGATTGTATTCTATTTAAAGAGTATCATCTCTCTCTCAGCACGTTGTCTCATGAATCAACATTTCTACTTTTTGAGTG